CCTGCAGGTGAGGAAGCCAGGCCCCAAGAGCAGGCCAGCACTTTATCACTGTATAATGCGACATTCAAACTGCAGCTAATACAGGCAAGAACTTGCCTTCTGCTATTTTACTTCGCTTACCTTATTTTCAGTAACGAACAGGGACTGCCATTTTTGTTGTTAGAATAACAGTAAATAAGTGCGCCATTAAATGGTGCCCAAGGATGGAAATGGCTTCTTGTACTTCTAGCAAGTATTATGTTTTCCCTTGTGTGTACGCATGTTGGTCATAAAAGCATGGAAAACAAAGTTCGAAGAGTGCAAATCAAGTTCCGAGGGGACAGATCACAGACACACCTTCAGTGACTTGTCCCTCGGCCTCTACCCTGCCTTTGAAACAGAAGCAAAACTTGTATTCCTTAGAGTGTTGTCATCTCCAAAATGGTTTTACAAACGGACACATAAACCCCTTCAGTGTGTTCCTAAGCAAGGAGGCCCTGGGAGCCAATGAGAGCTCTGTACAGCCAGCAGGCTTGCTCAGAACAGAAAACCTCAGCCTGACATACAACAGCAAAAATCCCTAGGCATCTTGGCAGAGCAGTTTCCATTAAAAAAAAAAAAAAAAAAAAGGGCTTATATAAAAAAATGCATACACAGAGCTTGACTCTCAAGGTTAGAAAATCCCCCACAGTGAGAAGTATGAACTGAAGCCATGGCCACATCACAATCTGAGCAAAAATAGCAAAAGAAACCTACTTCGGGAAGCACCTCACTCTGCCTTGTGCTACAGATTACAGAAAGTCTGTTGTTCCCCAGACCACCCATCTGTCACATTAATTTTTAACACTGACATTCTGTACAACAAACTATTCACTGTTTAAGTATCAGCGTTTGGCAAGAAAGACAGAGGGGGAGAAGAGTAAGGAAGAATGGAGGCATGGATAGATGAGAGAGGGGTTACAGAAACACAATCATCAATGCAAAAGGAGAAAAGAGTCACGAGCACATTTCACTTCGCATAGTCACGCTGAGGCCCAATATCACTGCTCACAGATCCCACACTCCCTCCATCAGGACCCAGTGATTCATCCTCATGACCCATTCACTAAATACACTGTCCTTTCCTGACACTATTCCCATTCACGAAAAATCTCCTCTCCAAGTCCAGATGAAATCCATCTCCAGGAACCCTTGCCCAATGTCCCTGATCAGAAGTAATATCTTATCTCTCTCATCTCTCTCTGCTGTTCCCAACAGGCTTTGCTAAGAGCTCTGTTACAATTCATTTCACATAGTTCAAATGCCCTCCATTAAATCATTAGTTTTTGAGCAGGGAAAGTATGTCTTGTTTGTCTCTATAAACTCCAAGGCATCTCTGTCAGCGGTTGGAACAGAGGAGATTTGTAGTAGTATTTCATTAAGCAGAATTCAAAGAACTTAAAAAGCTCCTTCTAGCACTGACATCCTGGACTTTAAGTCTGTGCACCTCACTTAATCATTTATTCATTTGTTCATTAAACAGCAATTTACTATGCACCTATTGCCCATCATGCCTTGTGCTCAGAGCCCTAGGAGACTCTGGTGCCCCCGTGAAGTTTACAGTCGAGTCTGGGAGAAAGGCAGTGATCAAATAATTGCACACATCCACAACAACCATGTGTGCTAAGCACTGCAATGGATAAGTTTAGGAGGATTTGGGAGCATTCATTCAACTCTGATACTGCACATTCCAGGGCAAGCTGTCAGACACAGAAAAAGGCAATCGCAGGAAAAAGATATACAAAGGCCCCCAAATGATGACACATTTAGCTTCGCTGTAGGTTTATTTTTGTTAAAAACGTGAAACAGGGGCGCCTGGGTGGCGCAGTCGGTTAAGCGTCCGACTTCAGCCAGGTCACGATCTCGCGGTCCGGGAGTTCGAGCCCCGCGGCAGGCTCTGGGCTGATGGCTCGGAGCCTGGAGCCTGTTTCCAATTCTGTGTCTCCCTCTCTCTCTGCCCCTCCCCCGTTCATGCTCTGTCTCTCTCTGTCCCAAAAATAAATAAACGTTGGAAAAAAAAAAAAAAAAAAACCTTAAACAACATTACAAAAGAAGTGAATGTTCAACTTCAATCTGTGTCCATGCTTCTAAATCATCTTCTGAGATACAGACGCAGATAGATACACATACGCATACACATACAGATCGATCACGGTAAAAGATCACTGCCTTAGAACTTTGAAGTTCTGGGTTTAGTCTTTGCTGCAGAACATACTAGTTAACTCTGAACTTCCCCATCAACGAAACGGAGACCATAATCTCTGCTGTGACAACTAGACAGGGTTGATGTGTAAGGATTCAATGACAATGCAGGATACACACATTTTGAAAAGTGCATATTGTTTGCACATAAAAAATCTGTCAACTCAAACATCTGATACATATTCATATATAAATGCATATATATATTCATATATATATACACATATATTCACATATACACATGTACATGCACATACACTTGGATTTCTCATTATGGTACAATTTTTTTCATCACAGCTGCTTTCACTCATTCTGTTGCCCTCCTTTGAACAGCATTTTCTTTGCCAGCAGAAGATGGGAGAGGTCGGCAAGAGAATGGCAAAGTCTTGCTGCCTGATTGCTCTGCTCACAGCCAGAATAAACAAAGGACAAAGAACTAAGGACTTGAGTCGAACCCCAAAGATTAAGCTACACCGCTGGATGAGGACACCAAGTAACATAACATCTGGTCAGATCAGTGTCAGCAAGAGGTATCTGCAAAAATCCCGAAACTTAAATGATACCATGGGTTGACACTGAGGGGAAATGGTAGCATAATGTTTACTTGCCGTTTTGTCGGCAATCATACAAGAATGCAAGCTGTATACAACCGAAGCAGCATAGTTTCCTATATAAAGAAGGCTGACGTGAAATTCTAGACTGCATGTCTCTTCTCCATCAATCATAAAGAACTACGAGAAAATCCTAGAAGGAAATGCTCCCGCTTTATAAGCAGCAGTAAAATCATTTATTAATGATAACATTTAGTAAGTGCTTACCAAGTGCCAGACACTATTTTAAATTTTTTTTTTCCAACGTTTATTTATTTTTGGGACAGAGAGAGACAGAGCATGAACGGGGGAGGGGCAGAGAGAGAGGGAGACACAGAATCGGAAACAGGCTCCAGGCTCTGCGCCATCAGCCCAGAGCCCGATGCGGGGCTCGAACTCACGGACCGCGAGATCGTGACCTGGCTGAAGTCGGACGCTTAACGGACTGCGCCACCCAGGTGCCCCAGACACTATTAAAAGAACTTTCAATTTAAAACTTTAACCTTCACAACAACCTAAGAAGTCGGAATTATCATTCCCTTTTTCACAGAAGAGAGCACCGAGCCTCAGAGAAATTCACTCACTTGTCTAAGATCACACAGCTGGCACTTACTGAACATGCTGAATAGCTACCACTCATTTGGCACTCACCATGCTAGAAGGCAAGGAGAGGTCAGGAGGGGAAAGGTCAAAGGGCAGGTATCCCTGAGCCAGAAAGGAGTCCCACACTGATTCTACTCAAAGAATCTGCAGGGAATCTGAAACGTGAACATAAATTGCTAATTTTCCACGGTAGAAATTTTAAGTACCACAGGAAATGCATAGTTAAGTTCCACCTCAGTGTTCACGTGGGGGGAACAGGGCACAGATGACAAGTCCAGGCATTAAAAAATTACATAATTTACATGAATTACCTTCTTCTCCACAACTTTGCACATGCCAGTTGGACTTGATTCCTTTGGGACAAGCCTATGGGCTATATATTCTCTGAGTGAGTTTTTCCAGTGGGTAATTCAGCAATATGGCTCCCAGGAACTAGGACTACCCAAGGGCAGGTACTAGGTGCTGTATCCTCAGTGCATAGGATAGTGTCCAGTACCCGTGCTTCAAGAGATATGTAATCAGGTACTGAATGAATTACTGGATTAATTAGTTAATTAAAAAGTGAGCAAATGAATGAATACAGGAACATAAAGCCAGGTATACACCATTCAGAAGCGCAGACGACACTGGAGTTCATGAACTCTGCCCCGACTGCCAAAGCCCCCGTCCCCAGGTGTAACTTTGCAAACACGAGTGCCAAGGGACTTTTGCTAGACAGCAGGTGGGAGTTCTCTTAACTGAGAGACCACACTAGTGACCTAAATGGTCAATGATTTCAAGAATACCAAGAAGCAAAACATCAACTTGTGTTTTATCCCCCCATCATGGCAGGAAGCAGAGAATGAACCACAAAAGCCATATTATCTAGAACTTTCTTGAGAGCTATAAAGCAAGTCATTTGCAGAAGTCGTTGATTTTGTACATGGGGACTGTTTGGTAAAATTGAGGAAGCGAATGATGGTTGACTTCCTGGAGTGAGTCACGGCTGTAACCCCCTCTGACAGTATTAATAGAACAGGGGGAAAATTTCCAGGAAACATCAATTACCACAACGACCAAAATAGAAAAGGCGGCTGGTGACTTAATCACTAAACTTTAGGGGAGACTACTCTCTTTCTTTATCAGAAAAAGACAACAATAAATCCAACTAATACATTTAGAAACTAGTTGAAAGCATCCTTCCACACTTTGTATAGTTATCTTTTAAATAAGATTTGGCTTTAGTGAAATGACCATACTTACTCTGGCTTGGTAATAGTTGAGCCAAGGTTCTAAGGTCAAAGTCAGACCTCCAAGAAATAGACCTATGTATTAAGGGATCCATTCATCTCCACTCCTTCTTTCAAAGCTTGAATTAATAGGTATTTAATGAGCACCTACTATTATGTTCCAGATTCATACTCCCTAAGAAACAAAGAACTAAACAAAAGAAGGAACTACAATAAATATATTTATAATAACACATATCAAAATAGAATATTTACATGTTTACATACAAAATACTTGGAATAATATCTGGAACATCGTGAATACCACGGAAAATTTTATTCTTCTTCTCATTATTATTCTAGCCGCAGGTGGTCCAAGATTGGGGTTTTCCATTAGTCTTCAGAGGAATTGAATCAGTCTCCCGCACTTGCATGGCTATGACTCTGATTGTGCATACCAATGGACCCTGCTTACTCACTGATCACCATCACCCTGGTCTACCATCCAGACTGCAATGAAACTACATGATGCAGTTCCAAAGGATAGCATACCCAGGCAACGTATTGGACCACCTCTCCCTCATCCCAGTTCATTTGCCTCATGGCCTATTGTAATTAAATGGGTGTGGCTCAGCAAACAGCCCGCCCATCCCATCCACGCACCTCACACACACAAAAATCTTCTAATCCATGGTAAGTATCCTTCCTGGGCCCCAAGTACTTCACCACAGCTGTTGTACTTACTGCAGGATGGGATTTAAGTAAGAGGAAATTTTGGCAAGTACCAATTATCAGCCAGTAATAAACATACTCCCAGTTTCTTCGACATCCTGTCTCCCCAAAAAGCCCTTACTATATCCTCTAAGAGAAAAACACTGGAAGCAACACAGATGACTGCAAGTATGGCAACAGTTAAATAAAGTCTGGTATAGGGGTGCTTGGGTGGCTCATTCGGTCAAGTGTCCAACTCCTGATTTCAGCTCAGGTCTTGATCCCAGGGACATGGGATCGAGTCCCGCATCTGGCCCCATGCTGAGCATGGGGTCTGCTTAAGATTCTCTATTTCTTTCTCATTCTCATTCCCTCTCTCTCTCTCTCTCTCTCCCTCATCACCCAACCCAAAAATGAATAAATAAATAAATTCTGGTATAGCTTCTCCAAGGACTGTATGTCACTGCTGAATATGATGAGGGAAATTCTAATTCTATAGCATTAAATTGAAAAATAAAAAATTACATGTCTCCTTGATTACACATTATAAAAATTATAGAAGCATACCGCTGAAGAATAAATCAGTACGTAGAATATGGGAGTTGAGGTGACAGGGAGAAAGGACCGTGAGTACATTTTTCAAAATGAATTTGTTCCCTTGCCCATATAAAATAGCTTGTGCACATTTTTAAATGTATGGAAAATCTTCAAATTTACCTACGTTCACAAAGAAAAAAAAATATCCAAGGATTTTTCTGATTGAAATATATTAGAAAACTTCAAGTGTGTAACAAATTATCCTAATAGCAGGAACTTTTCCTTCTGAAGGATACACAAGTACTCCCCAAATTATATCCAGGCATTACTTAGCATGTCAGTCAACTGCAGGCACTTTGGAACGGAAGCTCTCATCTCCTCCCAGATCCATTTAGCCTGAAGCCTACAGAAGAAGTCATGTGCCTCAGCCTCATTCATCAGCAGCATCAAGTGCTATTTAGGAAAGTTGCTAACTTCAAAGAGCATCATCTTAATTTCTAATTATGACCATGTGAGCAGCTATATAAATGGCTGAATCCTAAAGCGTTTACATCCTTACTTCACACTGTGGTTCCAGGCTCCAGGCAGAAAAGATGGCAGAGTTTGCCTTTCCCTTCCTCTGATCACCCCTTCCTCACCTGGGAGACCTACAACTCCCACTGTGCACCTCACCTCATACGCCCCTCCTGGTCACAAGCCTCTACTGCATCTGGCCACCTCTCCCCAACTACCCTACCCACTTCGCTCCCCACCCGTCGCCCCTTAGCCAACTGTACATATCCAGCCTTTAGAACCCACCTGCTTTTGTCTATGCAGGCCTAAAACTATACGACCTTTTTCAACATCCCTACTGAACTTTAAGTCTTGATTATTTTTCTAATCAGTTAATTATTTTTTTTTTTAAATCTCACCCAAAGCACTTCTGAGTATTTCATGTAGAAGTCCCAACCAGATCTTAAGTTTTTGTTATTGTTCTTTCCCAAGGCAGTCAAGAGTGCTAGACAAATATTGGGTCCTAAGTCCATACAGGCTTAAAAGAACATTAATTATGCATAACTGGTAACAACAGTAAACAGGAGTTGTTTCGGAAATGTACGCGTACTTCTCAAGTCACAATGGCTCTGTACATTGCTACCATTAGAACAGGGGATGTGGCAGCAGTAAATCTGGGAGATATGATGTTAAGCACCTCCAAGACAGGGCATCGAAAATCTGCTTCTATGTGCTAATCTCTGAAACACTAATACCTCCATTTCTCTCAGCCTCAAGTTTCTTCCTCTACAATGAAAAGCCTTCAAACAGATCATCTGAACTGAATATCAGCGGGGACCTTCCACCATCCAACTAAACCCCCTTGGGTCCCGATCCTTTTACTCTGCTCTTGGCACCATGATTTTGCAAGTGAGCGACACCAAGTGACATCAACTCTGGATACTTTAGCTTCATCATCTACACAAGGGGAGTAGTAACCCCCGCCATTTTCACCTATGAAAGGGGCTCTGGAGATCAAATTAAAAAAAAAAAAAAAAAGTCTGTGAATGTGTGCTATGAACGTAAAATGCCATAGAATATTAAGAAAATGTATTTACGGGGAGCCTGAGTGGCTCAGTCGGTTAAGGGTCCGACTTCGGCTCAGGTCATGATCTCACGGCTCATGAGTTCGAGCCCCGTGTCGGGCTCTGTGCTGACGGCTCGGAGCCTGGAGCCTGCTTCAGATTCTGTGTCTCGCTCTCTCTCTTGCCGTCCCCTGCTCACACTCTGTCTCTCTCTGTCTCAAAAATAAATAAAACATTAAAAGAAATAAAAAGAAAATGTATTTACTCCCATCACTGTTGATTCAGGTGTGGGACAGAGGTATTAGGGGTATAGTATGGAAGAGTACTGCTCCAGAAGAAGCCTGTGGAGAGAAAACAGGTTAATAGATGAACTTCAAGAAAGCAGCACACTCTTCTGTCTCCTTCTGCCAGCAGGAAAGCTTTGGAGAACTGCATGGCTGAACAAGATATGTGAGCCTCCTCAAGGAAACACACAAAATGGAAGCAAAATTACAAAGTCCTAGGGTCCATTCTGGTTGTTGCCCTTATTTGCCTTAACTGGCTTAATAACCAAACCAGTCTAGTTCAGAAAATGACATCACTGAGAACATTACCCCCAGTATCCTCAATAATGTGGAGTATTTCTATGGTTTATAAACTACTAAAAGATCAGATGACACTACATAAAGATCTGTATGTGAATATATATATATATATATATATATATATGTGTGTGTGTGTGTGTGTGTGTGTGTATATATATATATAGAGAGAGAGAGAGAGAGAGAGATTGTTTCAAGCATTATTTGTTCTAAAAAGATCACAGGTATTAATTTGCATTTCCTTATTTGCTTTTTACTCCCCTGAGGGAGAAAAACATTGTAATAACACCTTGTATTTGTAGAAGCATGTCTCCTAGAAGCAGGGAATACTGTACAGATATTATTTAATCAAGCTTCACCTTATCAGTGAGTAGTGAGCAATGGATCATTATTAAGGGGTCATTTTAGTTGGAAACAAAAAAGTCCAACAAAATATAGAAAATTTCAGGGTGACAAAAAAATCACCTCTGGTGAGTTCAGTGAGGCCAAAAAAACCAAAAAAACAAAAAAACAAAAAAAAACAAAAACAAAAAAACCTCCAAGAGGCAACTGAGACTCCCTTCTCCCATGACACAAAGTTTAGTCTGCCTGAAATGGTCTACCATTGTCAACCTTTCCATGAATGAATATTCGCCTTCCCTCAAAGTCCAGCCCAAGAGCGTCCTCTCCCTATACTAGTGCAGCCTTCAGCCTTCATCTTTCCAGTCAGATTAAATTATGAATTCTTTAGAGTTTATATATATTTTTTTAATTTTATATGTATATATTGTATATATAAACGTTTCTTTTTGAAAGACAGAGAGAGACAGAGCGCAAGCAGGGGACAGGCAGAGAGAGAGGGAGACACAGAATCCAAAGCAGGCTCCAGGCTCTGAGCCATCAGCACAGAGCCCGACGTGGGGCTTGAACTCATGAACCGCGAGATCATGACCTGAGCCAAAGTCAGATGCTCAACCAACTGAGCCACCCAGGCACCCCGGGACTACCCTAACTGTAGTGTTTAGCCAATTGTACCTTTTCGTGAACTTAGTTGTGTACATGTCTTCACTCCTCTACCAAACTGAGATATCTGTAGTGAGAACTAGGATTCAGTCTTTTGTGGACATTACTGCCTACCACAGAGCCTTATAGGACATAGGGAAATCTATCCATGTTCTTTCTGTAGGACTGGATCTTAGAAACAGAGATATTCAATTGGATGATTTGCGGGACCCTTTCCAGCTATAAATTCCAAATGTTAGAAGGAATATATGACATTACCTAATTCAATTCCATCAAACAAGGGGCAAAGAAAGGGATGTGTCCAAGGGGAACCAAGTTTCCTGAGTCCAGTCCAGGGCTTCTTGGCCACACTATAGGACCTTTCTAAACTGCTGACAGTCCAAGAAGAACTACCTCAGGTTTATTTCCCTAAAATTTCAAGCCAGGATCTCAAGACACATCTATTTGACAGATGACAAGGAAGTATTAGCTTAAATAACCATTACTCTGAACATCACAATGCTGGCCAACGGCTCTTCACCATGAGTGAACTTGCTGTTTGGCATCATTTTAATAAAATTCAAATGGGAGGCAAATGCTGACCCTAGACTAGTGCTTTTCAAACTGTATAAAGTAACTCATGAATAGGTCATAAAATCGATTCACTGGACCTCCAAGGGTATGTTTAAAAACTGAAATAGAATAGAAAACATCAATGTGCATCATGTCAAGTAAGAACATACACTGTTAAGTGAAATATATATATATATATATATATATATATGTATATATATATAGGTGTGCGTGTGTGTGTGTGTGTAATTATCGATGAAAATTTATTTTTTACTGCCATTTGTCTTTTTAAAAAGTTTGAAAGCAACTTCCTTGGACCACACTTTCTGGTGATACATATTAATAGCTACAGAGCTGAGTGCCGTACAGGTAATGAGAAAGGTGGGCAAAAGCAGGTCTTATGAAACTAATAACATCTCCTCTCAATTTTACATTTCCTATTTCTTGGGAGAGCCATCCAGATCTCGACTGAAAACCCTGGCCACAATGAAGAGATACCACCGTCCCCCCCTGCCCCAACACACAACCACTCAAGGTTTGGACTACCACGTCTTGTGTTAGGGGACGAGGCTTCTTTGGTCCCTGCCCACCCTTTGTCTCTTCCTCCCTCTTAATGAGAAAAGGTTAGAAAAAAAAATTACCAAAAGAGAGAGGAAGGAAAGCAAAGAAAAGTTTCAGTTTTAGAGGGGTTTTGTTTGTTTGTTTACTTATTTCTTTGTCTTTCTTTCTTTCTTTTCTAAAGAGAGACCCAAACCAGCCTACAGGAACTGTCACACAGGACTCATGTCCCTGGGCACTTTCAACAGACTATCAGAATATTTTTTTGCTTTCTACTTCCTTGGCTGGATGGCCAGGTTTGAGTAATTTTCTCTTTCTCCTGGGGTTGGTTGCTAAGAGACACTCTATTACTTCTCTTTCTCTTATGACCTGATTACTGTGATCAGCAAAGACAATATGCAGGACAGCACCCTGACAGTCTTGTACAAGATCGCCGGGCTGGGTTACAAAACAATGGGATCTCTTAACCATCTCAAGGCCATCAGATCAAGTTTCCAAAATTCTTTTTTAGAAGGGTCTAAGGATTCTCCTCCCATTTTCCTCCAAAATGGCGGTCACAACAAATCAACTATCTCTTCCATTATAGAAGCCAATATTCATATTGAAATGCGTTTCAACAAAGGTTCCATGCCATCTCTGTATTATCTACATATTTCATAGGTAAATAAAGAGACCAAAAAAAATGTTCTGGGTCAATCTAAGCCTGGATAAAGGAAGGACAAGGCTGCTAGAAAACCCTAATAACTTTGTTAGCCAGAGTCTTCCAATCCCCCCTTCTTTTTGGGGAAAACACAGCCAAAGTAAATTTCGCACCTTGTTTATCTCTAATTCAACACAGCTCTTCCCATAGATGTTTGTTGAATGAATAAATGATTGGTGTCCAGATTAAGCTCTTCTTCTCATCCCTTGAGGCTCCTATCCACTCCCCATGCACGCACGTGCACGCGTACACACACACACACACACACACACACACACACACACACATTTCAGCAAAATGAAAAAGAAATGGCTACCTGTTCCTTTTTAAAGGTTTTGATGCGCTCAAAACAGACCAGGATTTTGTTTTAAGTCAATGTAAGAAAGTAACAAAGATTCTGGATCTTTATCCAGTATATCTTCCCCTAGTTTGTATTCCCCTTATACTACCTAGAAGATTCAGGTATCTGGCCAGACATTCACTCTTGTGTTCATTTTACTCTCCTCCCCACCATGAGGTTAATTTGGAAATTTTTTTAACACTTTCAATAGGCCAAGTTCACATAACATCTGTAGCATATATCCAAAGGCATCATGCTTCCCAGATCCCCCATGAGTTATACCTAAAATTTTATCATTAGAACTTCATGCCTTCAGCTTAAGGTTCTGATGTCTATTAAAAATGGAAGTCCTTCTAGCAAGGTTCCACTTTGGCATACTATGAAGAATATCAATCTCTTAGATAGATAGATAGATAGATAGATAGATAGATAGATAGACAGATAGATAGATAATGAATATAGATGTAGAGAGAGATAAACATATGTATGTATGTATCTCAGTGTGTGCACATGTAACAGATATTTCCTGGATAGATTTCAGGAGTTAGCGTATAAAATACAATAGAAACACAAAGATTATGAAATTTGGATTTAGAGATAGCTGGATTCAAATCAAAGATTTGTTCATTATTAGCCACTGGACATGAGGCAACTTACTTCCCATTTCTCTGAGCCTCAATTTCATTATTTGAACACTGGAAATATTAGTACCAAATTTCAAATAATGCTGTAAAGATGATATATCAGATACCTGGCATATAGTAGGAACAAATAAAATGTTATCTCCCTCATGAACTGCATGTACTTAAGAACATCAATTTTACTTTGCTCTGGTGTACAGAAAAGAACATTTGAAGATAGTAGCCTAGAATGGGAGAGCAAAGAGGGCATGGAAGTGGCAGAGCAACATGCTAAAGGCATACTGAATGGAGAGCCAATGGCCCATTTCACAGCCTAACTAAATTTACAATATTCCATGGGAACTATTTTAGTCCATGCCCTTCAGGAGTAACCAATTTTACACAATTTCTGTAGCTGAATCATACTTTCATATAATTTTAGGGCAGGAGGAAGTGAAGAGATAATATTGTTCAATCTCATTGTTTTACAATGGAGGAACCCACCCCGGGGTGGTTCAGTGACATACGTAAGCCATAGCGTGCAACAGAAAGGTGTCCTTCCCATGGACATACTTCCATCCAGTTAGCTCTTGTCACGGGTGGTGGCTGCCTTCTTGATTGGTCGCCACCTCCTTTCAGTGTGGTCAAGGTAAAATTACCTTTATTTAGCAGGCCCTTTGGCTCTTCCATTTCAATGGAGTATCCATGTACAGTTCTGAGACTGTATTCAGAACAAAGTCAAACTTTGCAATAGATCCTAGCTACTTACTAACTGGGAATCATGGTTCTTTATACTCAGTCTGGGGAAAAAATAACAGTTGCTATGACAGTTGGATTTATTTCTGAAAATGGGATGTTTGAAGGGCATTTCAAGCATAGTGCCCAGCTTCTAACTAGGAGCTTTTTGCCCTGAAATTCCCTCTATGGCTCTAGCTTTGCCCTTCCTCTACTTCCAGCAACATGACACGGTAATGCACAGGTCTATCAGCAACAAGTGCCCTGGCAATTGTTCCAGACAAGAAAAATTCCCTGGCAGCCCCCAAAATGGGCACAGATCCTAAGACATCTCCTTTTTCAACCTTGGACTGACACTGTTTTCCAGGATAAGAGGTAATTCCCCATGACAATTTCAGTCTAGAACAAGCAATACTGTCATACAGGTTAATTTTTATCTGGGCTATATCCAGTAGAGAAGAAGCTACATGAGATAAACTGCTTGGGAATAGTATAGACTCACCACTAGCAAAACACAATGCCTCAAGAAACACTATCTTTAAAAGGAACTATGGCTGAAGCTCTCTAAAATAATACAGTCAGTTGGAATCCAAAATAAGCTGAGAGTGGAAAAAAGACACCTTAATTATACATGACATGGTTCAGTGAACTGAAAGAAAAACACCACAATAAATAAAACCTATTCCCCTAAAATACCCAAACTGGGATGGGGAGAGGACTCGAAGTGATCAGTGATGGTGTAAAAGTGCTTTCAATTTTATGGAATGGGGCCTCATCTACTGGGTGTTGAATTATGCCTGTGCCTTCTCAGGGTGGCACAGAGGGATATTTAGAAGTTTCAGGAGACGAACTTGCCATCTCTCCAGAAGTGTATGAGTGTTGAATCACCTGCCTCTATCACTCACTCTGTGTTCTTTACATTAATCCTAAACAAGCACATGGACTCGCAAATCACAGAGGTGGGTAGAACTGTGGAATGACTGCTGCTGCTTCATCACCTTGATTGTGTAGGTGAAGTTTGAAGAGTCTGGTTCATTTTTCCAGTCAATCTATGCTCGAGGCACACTGCAACCAGGTAGCGGTAGCCTGTAACTGCAACACCCAAATAATTCATCAGCACAGGCAGCAGAAAAGTAACAGATTATCCTTCTTTCTTTAAAAAAGTAAAATAAAATAAAAAGAACGTAAGAATAAAAATTAAGGAGATGTACATCAAGGTAAACCCATGGACAAGATACACCGGGGAGAGCCATTGCAAAGAAGGATCATATAGGTAATTCTGATTAGTTTCCTAATAACCTTAGTTTGGTTTTTACTATTACTCATTCTGCACTCTAGCTTTTCCAGGTTGTTTCCTCAAAATTTCAACTTGCTTGGCTTCCATGAACCCCAACTGATTTATTCAACTGTAATTCTTATTTGCAGTAATCAGACTGCTTAATCTAATCATAGGAATGATCTAAATTCATTTTTGCCCTTACTACCTTCCAAGACCTTGTATTCTTTTCCACTTAGAGTAAGGAAAAAACAGTTGCTTATTTATTTTTTTAAGTGTCCTTATTTATTTTGAGGGGGTGGGGGTAAGGGGAAGAGGGAGAGAGAGAGAAAGAGAGAGAGAGGATCCCAAGCCGGCTCTGTGCTGATAGCACAAGGCTCAATCCCATGAACGGTGAGATCATGACCGAGCTCAAATCAAGAGTTGGACACTTAACCCACTGAGCTACCCAGGAACCCCGAAAAAAAGTATTTGAAAAATATAGGGGCACCTGGGTGGCTCAGCCAGTTAAGCGTCCAACTTCGGCTCAGGTCATGTTCTCGAGGTCTGTGAGTTCAAGCCCTGCATCAGGCTCTGTGCTGACAGCTCAGAGCCTGGAGCCTGCTTCAGATTCTGTGTCCCTCTCTCTCTCTGACCCTGCCCTGCTTGCACTCTGTCTCTCTCTCTCAAAAATAAATAAACAATTAAAAATGTGTGTGTGTGTATATATATATATATATATATATATATATACACACACACACACACACACACACATTATTTTTTAAATGTCAACCATAAAAATGTCACACAGTATCAGTACATATATTATATATGTATTAGTAAATGCACATACACATATCAGTATTTTATTTAAAAAGAACAATGCCATAAGTGAGTCCAACAAGCTATGCTAACGATTGTAATGGCAGCTCTTGGTACTTGCATGTTTGTTTAGGAAAAGGAATTCTCTTAAAGAAATTTGCCATTCTCCATCTGCAGTCAATGGCATCATGTTCAGTTTTGGGTCCTGACAGAAGTGTCTTTCTAGGATAGGCTGGATAAAAATAATTCAAGATGGGAGAAGGTATAAACCTCCAGTTACAAGATACATCAAGTCCTAGGGATATGACATACAGCATGGTGACTAAAGTTAATAATACTGAATTGGATTTTTGACACTTACTAAGAGATTAAATCTTAAAAGTTCTCATCACAAGAGAAAAAATAGCATAACTACACATGGTGATGGATGTTATCTGAATTTACTGTGGTCATCATCTTGCAATATAAACACATATCAAACTATTATGTTGTATACCTAAAACTAACATTGGCTATATGCCAATTATAACTCACAATCTTGTATTTTTTTTTATTTTTTAATGTTTATTTTTGAGAGAGAGAAAGAGACAGAGCATGAGCGAGGGAGGGATAAAGAGAGAGGGAGACAGAATCTGAAGCAGGCCCCAGGCTCTGAGCTGTCAGCACAGAGCCTGATATGGGGCTCAAACCCACAAACCGTGAGATCATGACCTGAACCAAAGTCGGACGCTCAACTGACTGAGCCACCCAGGCACCTTAGAACTCAGGTTTTTTTTTTTTTTTAATGTTTTTAAAGTTTTAGAAACACTGTAATGGAAATGTCCAGCTTGAAGGAGGGGAGGAGGGGGAGATGAGGGATAGATCGCTATCTTAGAGGCGTGAAAGGATTCCTATCAGCAAAGGGACTGCAAGCTTTAAGGGCAGAGCTGGGACCAAAAGTAGACCGGAGGGGCAGCAGGTTCCACCTAAATATGGGAAAATACCTTTTTAATCTAAAGGTAACACAGGTAACACTACAAATAAAATCTGTTCTCACCTCCGCTGTATATTCAAGCCAGAGCAAATTTAAGACATAGTAAGAGGACATATCTGCACCAGGGCGATTGCTACTAAGTTTACATCCCTCCAGGGAGTTTCAGAGTTGTTATTCTAGTTTTGCTGTTGTTGTTTGGATATAGAACCCTCGTATCTCTTACTAAATTTGTGAGTAGGTATTTTAAGCCTTACTCCCTCTGCAAAAGGGAACTACTCCCACTGTATTGTCTCAAGTATTATTACATGTAAAACTGTCAGTTTTAGGAGACTCAATCTGAACCAAGCCACCTTCATAAACTTTGTAACTATTATTTACTCTATAGATATTCACTGAATGCTTCTTCTGTGCCTCAACCATGGTAGGCATTGTGAATTTAATGGTGCCCAGCAGAGTCCCTGCTCGCAAAGCCAAACAGTCTAGGTGACAAGGTAGCTCTTGACGTTACCTCACCAGACTAAGTACCTATTTGGTTTGTCTGTTTGCTCTTCCCCGTTCCTTTCCCAGAGATGTGTAACTCAAAAGCGATGAAGGGAGAGGGCCCATTTAACGAGGACTGGGTCACAATCAGAGAGATGCGACCAGATTGTACAGCTGGTTTTCTATTGTTGTTGTTGTTTTTCTTGGAGAACAGGTGTTGACAGCTTTAAGCACTAACTAAACTCTGCAGAGATTATAAACTTAGAAGACTAAGAGATATGCCCACATTTTTTAAAGGCAGCTTTCAAGTCAAAATTAAGGTAAACTTTCCATAAAATCAGAGCTGTCCAAAGACAGAACAAGGAGTTTCAGTTTCCTCCATTAGAAATATCCAAGAAAACCTGTAGGGACACCTTGGGAAAGATGATTTATCAGGTGTTCAGTATCTGGTGAGAGACTGGTCCACCTCAGTAGTTCTTGAAACCAGAGAAGTGTTCCCCCAAAATGGTGCCAATTCTAGACCAATTACTTCAGAATATCTGAGAATAAGACCCTAGTCTTGGTATTTTTTTGGAGGTCCCCGGTGATTGTTAAGTGTAGTGAGGGTGGAAAACCATGGAGAGACATTTATTAAAACGCTTGCAGTACTGCACTGGCTGTATTCTAGGAAGTCTGCAGACTTTAAGCCATACAACAAAAAGGAAGGGACACTGGCATACCCTTCTCCACATCAGCAAGGTCATCAAGGAGAAAGGCGAACAAGCTAGTGTTCTAGCTTGTAATAAACGAGTCCAAGTTCTAAGATGTGCTCACGAGGGAGAAAGGCCAGAACTATCAATAATATATTGGATACAGACAAAGAAAAGAAGATACACATATTTTGACATTCCAGAGACCATTAAGGCCCTGCATGGAATAGGTGTACTGAGTAAGATACGCATTTTATGTTGTCAGGGGGTACTTGTTTTTATTTCGTTCATGCATTCATTTATTCATTTGTTCATTCGTTCATTTTTTTTGGTTTTAACCAGAAAATTCCCTAGTTACATTCTTACCTCTTCCAAAGCTGTATTAAAGTGAATTAGATGTTTGCAAAATTCACTGGGACTTGGCGAAGACTGGCAGGAGAGACCACGCAGCAAAATTCTTGTATCAAGGGAAAAGCTGTGGCTTTCGGTATTGAACAAAGTTCTACCAAAGGCATAAGAGTAGAAGCCAGGTATATAAAATAAGCCGAGAGCCCCCATTGAATGTCTATGATTTCCAAGTACCGTAATATGCTAACACTAGAAAACAGCCTATTTTTAGTACTTGAGGTTGTTTTTGAAAATCACCAATCTTTTGAACCTTGTTTTTCTTTTTTTTTTTTTTTTTTTTTTTCCTACTACAGCTTTTCTGTGCCTTCAAAGTTACTGAGGATCATTGACCAAGATTCTCCACAGCAAAAGGGAACAGTGGTAATAAGGTTATCAGAACCTGGGAAAGAAAAGTCCACCTCTACCCTTCACTGACCTAGAGGAAGAGAAAGGTAAATGCATCGGTCAAGGCCAGAGCGAAAGCTGGCATTAGCCCCAAGAGAGAAATGCAGAAGTTCTGATTCTCAGCCCTTATTGCAAACCACCAGCCATTCTCACTTCCCCTGCCAACAGAGCTGACTTTTGTCAGTGAGGGAAGAACTAAGTTTCACAAACAATTAGCACAATAAGAAATAAGGGTGGGGTACTAAGGGACCATAACCATGGTGACTGCTTTGTGACTCTAAGATCACTGACAGGCTTTAAAAAGAAATGGATTTGTTCCTTCAACATCGGATTAGATCGCTTTATAATGAAATCAAGTTGGTGACTGTCGGTGGTACTGGTATCGTTGAACCTTCTGTTCAGGAGCACAAAAAGCATCAGAGAATAAAGAGAGAGGCAAAGTTGACCTGACCAGTTAGCTTTCAAAATATAAAAGCTGCCATAAGAGCCACCGCAAATTAGCCAGGGCAGAAAAGCAAAAGGGGGTTTTCTACAGCCATTAATTGCCATATTACCATTATTATCATTATATAATACAGTACCATACGGAGAGCATTAAATAGTGTACTTTCAAACGAGACTCAGGCCAACTAGGTTAAGCAATGGCCTCCTTGAATCAAAACCTATTGCCCCTTGAGGCCCGCAGAGCTGCCTTGATTAAACACAGCGGCAGGCTCCGGTTGAAGGAATGATTCTTCTTTTTTGAAGGGAGGTGGAATAGAGTAATTGCCAGATGTTTGCAATTTTAGCTATAAAAAGATGGCTGCTTTCCATTCCTGAGTATGTTGAATCTTTTTTTTTTTTTTTCCTTTCTACCCAAGCTATTGTGGTTCACTAAAATAGGCCACTGCACTGATGAATCATCGTTCAAAACTGCGATAATGGAAGCAGAACAAATATGACATTTTAAATTCACATAGAAGAGAAATAAGTAAAACTGTATGGGTAATAGTTCTATGCTAAGCAACAGAAAACATGTTGCAGTATAAAGGACCTGATTTGGGTTCAGACGAGTTATTCTTGAATCTGCTCTTGACTGTTCTCTACCTGTAAGACCAGGTCCAAGCAATCTCATCATGGAGACTTGATCTCAAATACCAAATGGTGTCACTATCCCCGCCCAGCCTCGCTCTCAGAAGAAAGAACTTACGCCTCGCCTTGGATGGGTGCTGTCCAGAGAAGATGTGCAAATGTATACAAAAGTATATCCAAACCATATATCGTGATATAATTGCACATACAGTGTACATTATTTTGTATGTGCATTATATTTTCTGATAAATATTAGAAACCCTCTCCCAATGCCACCACAAAATACTCAGTTCTCTGTTCAAACAGTGCCTTCTAAATCTGGTGAGATGAAAATGAAAATCTGGCTTTTACTTAAACAAAAGCAATATAACTGGATTGAGAGACTGGTGACCTCTTAGACAAGGGATGTTATCTTTCTTAATGAGTGAGCTAAGCATCTCCTTGAGGGTCTGATGACATACGGACACTTTCTGTGAAAAGAGACATACACATGGACCAAGTTTAAACACAATTTCAGGGCACTGGCTAAATCCCAAATATGAATCCTGGGGATGAGCGGGACGCGAGATAAAATTCCTAATTAATTTTTTTCTCAGAAAATATAATTAATAACATCTTTAGAATCTCTCTGCCTCATTGAATAAGTTGGAAAATAAAAGATTTTAAAAATTAATAAAAATTACCAGTTTATATTGTTTGTTCTATAGAACTTTCATTTACATTATTATCTGTAATGATAGTTCAATAATAAAAATGCTACTTCTTAAAGAGACAATAAATATGAATCTTTTTTTTCTTGGCATAGTTCAAGTAAAGTCTCTGAGAAACATGTTCTACAATTTTAAAATAGTATATATCAACACATCACAATTCTAGCAGGTCAAACTAAGACATTCAATCCTAAAAACATCACCAAAGCACAAAAAAGAATAAAACTAAGGCTATTTTCAAAAACAATCGGCGAGAGGCGCCTGGGTGGCGCAGTCGGTTAAGCGTCCGACTTCAGCCAGGTCACGATCTCGCGGTCCGTGGGTTCGAGCCCCGCGTCGGGCTCTGGGCTGATGGCTCAGAGCCTGGAGCCCATTTCCGATTCTGTGTCTCCCTCTCTCTCTGCCCCTCGCCCGTTCATGCTCTGTCTCTCTCTGTCCCAAAAATAAATAAACGTTGAAAAAAAAAAAAAAAAGAATTGTTCCAAAAACAATCGGCGAGAGTTACATTTGGACAATAATAATTTAAAAATCTATGGTTGTAGGGGCGCCTGGGTGGCGCAGTCGGTTAAGCGTCCGACTTCAGCCAGGTCACGATCTCGCGGTCCGCGAGTTCGAGCCCCGCGTCGGGCTCTGGGCTGATGGCTCAGAGCCTGGAGCCTGTTTCCGATTCTGTGTCTCCCTCTCTCTCTGCCCCTGCCCCGTTCATGCTCTGTCTCTCTCTGTCCCAAAAATAAATAAAACGTTGAAAAAAAAATTAAAAAAAAAAATATATGGTTGTAAAAACTATGGATTATGATTCCCAGAGCTAATACCCACATTTTAATTTTAATAATAACAGCAACAGTAACAACAG